TTCTTTCTTGGCAGGCAGGGAGTGGGGCAGGAAGCGGTGCCTGAGCGAGTATGGCGGACTATTCCACGGTGCCCCCTCCTGCTTCGGGCGCGCCCGGGGGAGGCGGCGGTGGAGGTGGAGGAGTGAACGATGCCTTTAAAGACGCGTTGCAGAGGGCTAGGCAGGTGCGTGCGTGCGTGTGTGTGCAACGTGGCTCTGCTAAATCAATGGGCCCTCGGGTCCCGGGGCCTGGAGGCAGCTGCTGACCAGGCCGCGGCGCCTGAGGCACGGGAGGAGTTAGCGGGCTGCGCCCTGACGACGCTGGGCCCTGGGGAGACCTGAGGAGGGGGCCCCTCCGCCAGTACGTGTCTGCGGGGGGGGGAGCTTTGTCCCGTCCCCTCGCCCCCCTCCGCGCACGCCGTGGGGAGCGCCCGCGCTGCCCGCCCGCCCTCCTCGGGCGGTGAAGGGTTTTTCCAGTCAGACCCCGGCTCCCTCCGCTCCGCCATTGCCCGCTGGCAGCCTGGGCGCCCGCAGTGCCCCGGCTCGGCCCGAGGTGAGAGCCCGGCGCCTTGCCGGGCCGCTCGGGCGGTGGAGGAGCCGGAGGGAGGGCGGCTCCGCCGCTCGGCCCGTATTGTGTTCCTCGAGGCGCCCTGGGTGCCCGCTAACCTGCTCAGACCGGTTGGGGAGCGCTGCGGCCTGCGGAGCGAGGGCGGCGAGGGCTGTCTTTTCGGAAGTTCCTTATCCCGAAGTTTTATTTGTAGGTTTTGCACCACGGGCGATGTTTTCATTATTTCTTGGGCAAAATTTTCGCCTTGTCTGGCAATAACCCGTCGCGGTTTTGGCAATATTTGAAGACCCGGTGTAGTCGGGACTGCTGAGGTTTGGCATAGTTTTAGCGGTCAGGCCCTCCGTGAGATACCGCAGTGTTTCGTGAAGAATGGGTAGAAAAGGAAAAGCCCCTTTTAGAAAAAAGGTTTTGGTGTTTAAAGGGCAGGGGGCTTGGGTTTTGGTTTGGTTTGGTTTTTGTTGTTTTGTGTTTTTTTTTTTTCCCAACCAATGAAGAAAATATAGGAAGCTTTGCTGTTGAAGGATGAGCGCAAGTCTCCTTGAAGACATTAAAAAATAAGATTTCTGTGAGCAGAACTGTTTCTAGCGGCAACCTTTTATTTACTTATTTGGGGTAATGTTAATATGCATTGTCTAAATCGCTTAAAATCGTTTAGAAGACCGGGAATGAATGAGGGCTGACTGTTTTTTTTTTTTTTAACTCACAACATCTGCCTTTTGTTTAGATTGCAGCAAAAATTGGAGGAGATGCTGGCACATCAATGAATTCAAACGACTACGGTTATGGAGGACAAAAAAGACCTCTTGAGGATGGAGGTATGCACTCGTTACTGCTGCATTTATTTTTGTTGAGTACGACCAAGGTGCCAGAAAGATTGCAGGTGGTTTTTTTGTTTGTGTTTTTTTTTTTCCATAGCACAGCATAAAAACACTTTGTTCCCTGTATAGATCATGACATGCTTTTTCATTTTCAGTTTAATGGGGAAATGTGTTTTAAACCATTGTGCACTAACTTGAAGTGAATGTAAGCCTATTCTAAAATATTATAAATGTGGTTTAAATGCTGTAAAGAGGAAAATGTATGCCGGGGCGGGGGGCAGATAAATTCATGGTTGAGAAACTGTTACACAGGTATGTGATTTAAGTCTTCTGTTGTTATGTAGGACCGATTACAATTTCTAAACTACATTTAGAGTAGGAGGTGATCACTTCTTAAATTTGATTGTTTCATATACTTTATTATTGCACAGTTTCAAATAGAAGTATTAATGCATTTCATTGTAAAAGCATAGGACTTTAAAAAAAGACAGGAAAGTAATTTTTCTACCTTGTAGGCACTTCTGCTTAGTCTGGTATTTAAGCCTATAGCATGTGTGAACCCTGATAAGATCATATTTAAATCTTCTAACTTGTTGCAGCTTTTTGGATTTGCCTTATACTGCAGTAAAGTTTTCTCCTGAAATGTGTGTGTGTCGTCTTCTGTCTCTTACTAAGCAGCCAGTTTGAACTTAACAGGGTTTGATATGTTTAATATACACACAAAATCCTGGCTAAATTGTGGAAAGAAATCTCTTGAGCTTGTTGAAATGTTCTCATAGGTCTCACAAAAGAGCAATGCCTTTTTTTCCTTTACGAGGATTGAAACTCAGTCTACAGAATGTAACTAAAGCTTTATATCAGGAGTTCTTGTGTCCTGTAATAAAATATTTTTTTTTCTATTAACGGTGAGGTTTTTAGTATACAAAAAATGAGCTAATGATGCTTCAGATGATATATGTAATGTATTCTTTTTATTTTATGTGTAGATGGCTCTTGGACAAGTCCGAGCAGTACAACACACTGGGAGGGAATGCCCTCTCCTTTTAAAGGCAGGAATTTTTATTTATTACCTGTGTTTAGTATGTAAACATGACATAAACTAGTGGATCTTTCTGGATTGACACAAATATTTCTTGGAATATGTGTCTGAGTTTTTGCTGCACATAAATTATGGTGGTTCATATAACCTTTATTTTGGGGTGGGAAGGAAGCATCTGAAGTCTATCTTTTTGGATATAGGTTAATTATGCCTTTTATTCATTTACTGTACAGAAAGGATTTGGATGGTAGTGCTGTAGTTGCTTTGAATCTGCTTTTTTTTGAAGTTTTATGCTATGAAATGCTTGATATTTGGACAGGAATTTCAAATCGACATTCAGATTGAGGTTGCATTGCCATGTGATACTGTTGTATTTTCAGATGTTTGATCTAGATTTGTGGTCATTGTCAGATTTTTTTTTTCTTTAAATCATTGTTGATTTTTGTATGGATTTGATTTTTTTTTTTTTTTACTATAGAAGCATCATTAGCTTGAGCAACCAACAGAGCTAAACTTTGTTCCTTGTCTTAATTAAGTTTCAGTGACTGGGTATCTATGAGCAATCTACAGCGTGTTCTGAAAACTGCCTTTTGTTAAACTACTAATAGACAATATGGAAAAACCTAACACCTTTTCAGCTATACTAACCAAGTGCTGAGTGTTCGTGAGATTCTTTCTTTTATTCAGATGATCAACTCCCTGAAATTGGAGGAAAAAAAAAAGAAAGAAAAGGAAAAAAAAGGAAAAAAAAGGAAAGGGGGACTAAAATACACTGGAAAGTTACAATTCACACTAAAAGGTGTAAACACTTCTTGAATTTCCTGGCAAAAAAATTTAAAAAATCTTAATTTTGCAGATCAACCAGATGCTAAGAAAGTTGCTCCTCAGAATGACTGTAAGTAATTTTTATTTTGTTGCCAAAAAAACCTAAACAAGTATAGCATTGTCAGAACAAGAATTTGAAACAGTGTTCTGGTAGGTGATACTTGAATCAGTAAGATCAAAAGAATGGCTGGGGGTTTATGTCTTATTTTCTTGAAGCAGTGCATGTTTGCTTTGTAAAACTGACAATGTTGTTAGCAACAGCTGAGAATCTTCTTAGTTGTTTTTAAACCTCTTGATAACACTTCTTAAAAAGTCAACTTGGGCAAAAGTTGATACAATTAAGTTTTATTATCAAAGGAGAAGCTTAGTTGTAAATGATACTATTTGTTTGAATTTAATTTTAATGATATTTGTTTATAGCTTTTGGAAATCAGCTACCACCGATGCATCAACAACAAAGGTAAGAGTAACACTGCATCTTATGTAGAGTTTTATTTTTTACTGAAAGAAAGCAGTTTCAAGAAACTTTTCTGAAAAAGTGGTATCAATGCATAAAGCAATTACTCTGTATGTGTGGTCTGTTGAAATTTCAGCAAGTCCCAAGCCAAACACTTAAAATGCATCTACATTGCAGTCTTTTTCTCTTCACAGCCTAGGCTGTGCGTCAAGCTTAGTAAAAGGAAAACGCGTTGCTGGTTTTTACTGCTTGAGCATAGGTAGCGTAATCAGAAGTTGGAAGCAGATCTGAAGGGGGAAGGGTTGACACTATCTTGTAAACAAAAAGGAAAGCTAATGGATTAAAAAAACCAACTCGGATTTAATACAGTGTATTGCTCAGTCAGCTGTCTTTGCTACAACTTAGTAGTTTTCTCCACTCATTTCTTCCCTAAACCACATGCAACTATTATTCTTATGCTTTGGCTGGTTTTGGTAGATGAGATCCTGAAATTTGTGTATTTTCAGCATACTTAGCTGCATATACAGATGAAACTTAAAATGCCACACTGGCCTTTTCTGTACCGCACATCTGTTAACAGTAAAGAAGAGGAAGGAAAACTTAAATCAATTTGTATTATACTTGAACTTTTTGTGGTCACTTTTGTATATTGTTAGTTTACGTAGTACTGTGCTTGCATAATGACTTCTGGAGAGAGGCGAGTAAGCCAGGGCAATAGTGGGGGCACTAGCTTTCTTTAGTTTAATGGGAGGACGTATATAAATTTAATGCCAGTTTGGTCTCTGAACGGTTGTTGTATTTGTTTGATTTAACATTCTCTGTAGGTCTGTGATGACAGAGGAGTACAAAGTTCCAGATGGGATGGTTGGATTCAGTAAGTAGTATGGATGTGCTGGTGTAGTATAGTGAGGGATGTTAGCAGAAGCTGTTAATACAAATAATCTTTCTATATTTTCTTTTTCCAAGTAATTGGCAGAGGTGGAGAGCAGATCTCACGTATACAGCAGGAGTCTGGCTGTAAAATACAGATTGCACCTGGTAACTATTTGTGGGGTTTTTTTTCCTTGTTTATTTTGCTGGGTTTTTTGGTAGAAAGTTCAGAAGGCTGATCATTGCTTCTAATTGCCTGAACCTTCATTTAAGGTATAATTTAATGTTTTGTGCTAATTGCAATTATCACAGTCTAAAGAAATGCAAAATGCTGTAATACACTGATTATTATACTTCAATGACGTTCCAGTAGTTTGTATATTATGTTTCATTTCATAATCTCTTTCTGACTTAACATCACTGCTAAATTGGTTTTATTTTATGACTGTAGATAGTGGAGGTCTGCCTGAAAGATCATGTATGCTAACTGGAACACCAGAGTCTGTTCAGTAAGTAAAACAAATTCTGTGTGTTCATATTTAACTGTGTAATGCACTTCAGTTTTTAGATCTAAATATAATGGCTAGATAGCATGTCTATAATACTATGTTTTTCCTCTATTGAAAAGGCACTTTGGTGACAATTAAATGTATACATAAGAAAAAAGGCCCTGAACCTGCAGTCAGATCCCTCAACATACTTGGAGTTTTAAGACAAAAATACGGAACTTCAACTTTTCAAGTCCAAATCTTGTTGTAGATATTACTTACCTAAGCATGCACTGATTTCAGCTTGAGAAAGGTGTGCTAAAAAGAAACTCTTTAGTAAGCATAAATGGGAAGATCACAGGGAAAATGTGGAAAATCAGTAATGTGTGAGAGTAGGAGTTACTCAAAGCCCAGCCCATCAGAGTTCTTAAATGTCTTTGGTATAAATTAACGTATACCAGAAGTTAGGAAAGTGGTGTCTATGTAATACCTATCAGCAAAGTTAACTTTTGCCTTTCTGTGTTCAGGGAAGAGGATGATAGCAATTTTTTTTTTTTTTTACTGGCCTGGAGAATATATAACCACTTGAAGACTTGACTTGTCCTGGCTTTGCTAGGAAAGATCTTAAGTGTAGTAGTATATTTGGTATTACCTCATTTATGTTAGCTGCTCCCACTTCATGTTTGCAGGTAAGGCCTGCAGCTACATGTTTTCCTTTGGGAAAGTAGCGTGGCATTCTCCTCTTACGTGGCAGCCAAGCAGGCTGCTGTTAATGAAGTCATTCCTTTATGGGAATTTTCTTTCTAATTATAGTTTATTCTGCTCGCCTGTTAGAGGGAAGAGTTTTTAACTAATGTTAGTACTGTAATCATAATTTTACTCTGATGGCAACTGACTTACATCTGTGGTGAATATATACTTGCTTTGTCCACTGTTTTGGTAATGGTTAGAAGTATAAACGTCCTTACTTTGCATGCTGAATCAAGCAGCAGCTATCACAGTACTTGGTGTTAAAGCCAGGTTTATTTTGCCTTTTTATAAAACTTAACATAAAATAGATCTGCCTTAAGGTTGGCTGTTAGTAGGTTAAAGAAAAATTACTGTCAAATGAGAGGTTACCTAAATTACTACTGAAATTAAGGAAAGTTAGAAAAACCTTTCTGTCTGGTGATTTATTGTTTTTAATGCACTAAAAAAGGTAAATTGTAACAATTTCAAATCTTCTCATTAGCATGTATTTTTTCAATATTTTAAAGGACAAGTTTTCCATCTTTTGCTCTGAATTAAGGTTTGATCAATGTAACTATATTCAGGGATGATGGTCATGTTTGAGGAGGTGACTTACGTGTGTTTGGTAAAGAACCACCTTTTGTATTCTGACATTGGGGTGGGTTTAGGTCTACCACATTATCTTGCAATTAGTTTCTTAAGTTACTGTTACAGATTTACTGAGTTTGCCTCATATTTCTTAGTGGTAGTAATTATATTTCTTCTGCAGAAACTTTTCAAATTAAGAAAAGAAGAAATTTCCAAGCAGAATAGGTGTGGGCAGGTGATACTTGTAGGAATAAGTGTATTTATAAATGTATGTATCCCTCCACAGATCAGCAAAAAGATTACTTGATCAGATAGTTGAAAAGGGAAGACCTGCACCTGGCTTTCATCATGGTGATGGACCTGGAAATGCAGTCCAAGAAATTATGATTCCAGCAAGTAAAGCAGGATTAGTTATTGGAAAAGGTGGAGAGACAATTAAACAATTACAGGTACATGTGTGTCTTTTTTTAAATGTGATAGTATCGAACGTGGATTTGGGTGGGTATTGACCTTCCTTTTGTCAAATAGGAGCGAGCAGGTGTCAAAATGGTCATGATTCAAGATGGTCCACAGAACACTGGTGCAGACAAGCCCCTTAGGATAACCGGAGACCCTTATAAAGTTCAGGTATGGAGTCCTTCAGAATTCAGAGCATTTTAAAATCCATTCCAATGTTGCAGTACCTAAATGCACTTTCATTCTTCTTTTAGCAAGCCAAGGAAATGGTGCTGGAGTTAATTCGTGATCAAGGTGGCTTTAGAGAGGTGCGCAACGAATATGGGTCAAGAATAGGAGGAAATGAAGGGATAGACGTAAGCATGGTTGAAAAACTTGTTCACTGTATTTTGAGTTGTTAACATTAAAATGTTAAGCTGTGTAATACCACTGAAAAATCTTAAACAGATACCAGAAGTGGTTGTGGCATGTAAGTATTACTTGATCATTGCTGAAATTACGACTTTAGATGGCGTGCAGCATTCACTTTGCATTACCAGCAGTTCTGAACAGTTTCAGCTAGCTGGAGTTTTTTTATCAAATAAGCAAATGAGTTTTATGGCTAAGTATATAATGTCATTATAGAAATTGGAGTTTGGCCTTCACCGAAGAATATTTTAAGTCCACCTACTATGCAAGTCATGACCTTATAACTGTTCATCAGAGGTGAGGCTGAAAGTTTCATCTGCTAGAATCTGCATTTTAGGCCCATTAGAACTTTTGTTCTTTGATTGTGAGAAGCATAATATCCACTGGAATTGCTGCCACTATGAGAACTTGCAGTGCATAGGATCTCTTTCTTTTTGATGCTTTCGTCCAGTATTTGTTAGGCTCGATATTAAAAAATTCACACTTCAAAAAGCCTTAAGTGTCATAGGGCTGGCCCTAGTTTACCGTTCTAATATGTGACCCTTTAATTGTGTGAATTTGGTAGGAATATTTGTATCATTGACATCTTGACTTCTTTTTTTCTCTAAGGTTCCAATACCACGATTTGCTGTAGGTATTGTAATTGGAAGAAATGGAGAGATGATAAAAAAGATACAGAATGATGCTGGTGTTAGGATCCAGTTTAAGCCAGGTTGGTAGTATGTCCATAAGTTTCTGTGAATTGAGTAAATTTACTGGATTACATATACTAGAATAGTTCATTTTTATTCCAGATGATGGAACAACTCCAGATAGAATAGCCCAAATCACAGGGCCTCCTGACAGATGTCAGCATGCTGCAGAAATCATTACAGATCTCCTTCGAAGTGTTCAGGTTGGGTGATATGTTGTTTACCATTTAAACTCTCCTGCCAGACTTTTGGAAAGACTTAAAATTTTAAAAATGAGTGTGTAACTAAAGAAAATAATTGTGTTATTTGAATCTACTTCAAAGTTCAGTCTGGAATATGAATGTTTGCTTTTACAGTTACAGTTTTGCAAGTGTCAGGATGATCATGATAATACTGATTCAGAGTCATGGCAGTTCTTGATCTGGCTTGTTTTAGACCTGCTGCTTCTGTTGTCTTGTATTAATAGCTGATATGCTGTTACTTTTGGTTGTAATTGGTGTTTAAAAGACGGTTTAAATGCTTATTTTGACGTGAGCCCTACCACTGCATTTACAGAAGGCAGACAGAAATTACATCTTTGTACATGTGAAACTTTCTGCTTTCTTCTATATCCTTTCCTTCTTCATCTTTCATATGCAGAGTTGTACAGAACATATTTTAAAATGTAATTTAGGTCTTCTGGAAAAGAAACTATCGAAACTATTTGAGTAGTAAATCAGTTTTTTCTTAACAAATGATGTGATGTAACCAGCTGGCATTAATATTAAGTTTGCAGTAATTTTTATAAACATGCTAACTTGTTGCTTTTTGTTTTTAGGCTGGTAACCCTGGTGGACCAGGACCTGGTGGTCGAGGAAGGGGTAGAGGCCAAGGCAACTGGAACATGGGGCCTCCTGGTGGATTACAGGAATTCAATTTTATTGTTCCCACTGGCAAAACTGGATTAATCATTGGCAAAGGCAATATATCTTATATATACGTGTATCTATATGTAGTTAAAAAAACTCTCAGCTTTTCTATTTGTACAAATAGCCATACTAGAGACATGTTTCAAGAGAAGCCTTTGCAAATAGTTTCATGTACAGTGGAGCAACATAATACTGCTAAATTGTAACTATCCTAATATTCTTTTCAGATTTTCAGCACCAAAACACATACCCCAGTAGTTAAAATTCAAGAACCAATCAATTTATCTAACCCATTTTTTTTAAAGTAGTAAGTACTGAGTTACATTGGTAGTGTTTGGTGGATTCGTACATGATGTTAGCTTGCATTTGATACAGTTAGCTTGCATTTGATACCGCTTGATTAGCCTAGCGTTATTGCATGTGTAACTCACTCTTGAAACCAATTTTCACATATTCCAGTGAAGATCTTTTACAGTGGAGTCCTGTAACAATTTCTTATGTGTGTGTTTTTTAAAATAATTACTTCTCAAATAATTTTGTTTTAAAAATAATTTACTGTATGCTTCTAAATGAAACCCTTGAGTTATCTTAATCTTTTGTTTGTAACATGTTTTCCAAACACAACAAATAGGCTGACATAGTTCAGTTCTTGACCTGGAAGGTTGATTGTTGTTGGTGTGGGGTTTTTTTTTGGTTGTGGGTTTTTGGGGGTGTTGGTTGGTTGGTTGTTTTTTTAAATGCCAATTTACCCCTGTTTTGAAAACTTTATGCCTGCTAATGATACATGTGACTTCTCAGGATCCTATAAGAGGAGGAACTAGTTTAGGGAATTTAACTTTCTGATTTTAGTGCACTGCAAAAAATGTGGACTTTACCATCTGGTCAGCTTCTGGGCTTGGGGTTTTTTTTTGTCATCTGTGCTTGCCTACTGCTCTATAGGGAGGTTAGGCTTTAAGGTTGTATTTACTGATAACCGTGGGTATTGGTTGTTATTCATGTCTAATCTTACATCTTTACATGAATGGAAAAAACCAGACAACATTGTAGGAATTCTCTGCTGTTCTTTCTGAGTGACAATATTGTGGTCTTTAATTTAAAAAATAATTGTATGACTAGTTTATTGCAATCAAAGCTCTATACTACACCAAAGAGGCTTTTTTTTTAGTTGTTAGAATGCTCTTGTATCGCTTATAAGAATAGGTGTCTCTTCACTTTTCTATCTTAAGCAATTGACTTTCTCTGACTTGAATCTTAGTATTTTCGCTTTAATGCTTGTCATAAAAGCTGTATGTTGCATTGTAGGTGGTGAAACTATTAAAAGCATAAGCCAGCAGTCTGGTGCTAGAATAGAACTTCAAAGAAATCCTCCACCTAATGCGGATCCAAACATGAAGATGTTTACTATCCGTGGAACACCCCAGCAAATAGATTATGCACGACAGCTTATAGAAGAAAAGATTGGAGTGAGTGTATAACTATTTTGGTTTGCTATTATAACAGAGTAGGAAGTGAGTCTCTTTTGTGGAGACTTTTCCTCTATTTCACTTCCAAATTACTTAAATAATAAATTGATAATAATAAATGGTAATCTGGATTTAAAGTACTATAAACATAATTTGATGCACCAAAAGAAGCAAAAATTTGAAATGGAAAGAAACGGTTGTTTTCTTCAATGTAAGATAGTGTATTTTTTAATTATGTATTCTTGGAAGATGCCCGCTTTGTGTGTAATGAAAAATTTGATGACTTCAAAGGTATTCTTGATGTTGTTAAAGCTACCAAACTGTGTGCTTAGTTTTCCAGTCTCAGTGTATTTACGTAGAGTTTTAATCCAAGTTCACGCTCTTTAAATTCACTGCACTTTTGTTTGCATGTGTATGCATGTAATCAAATTTACTACCTGTTTTTCCTACCTGATCTTACAAACAGATTTAATTAGCAAGATTGGGCAGATTTAGATGTATCAGTTTATTTTAAAACACTGATAGTCGTGTTTTAGTTTGTGGGGTTTTTAATACAACTTGTGGAAAAATCCATGTTTATTTGTAAAAGTCTTTGTTTCCTCAAGAAAGAACTAAAATAAATGTAGCTTTTTAGTTGCTATTACTGCCACAGCTGCTTTTAATTCTCTTCTTTAACTAGCCATAAACCTAGTTAATCTTCAAAATGACTGTTTTCTCCAGGGAAGTGTCTTAATTTAAAAACAACCAAACCTTTTAGATTATATTCTTAAAGTGTTCAGACTTGTGCTTCCAAACTGCTGAAAAATGGAGAACTTCAAGGTTTATTTTCATCTGTGTGCTCTTCTTGTTTCAGGGTCCAGTAAATCCATTGGGTCCACCTGTTCCTCATGGACCCCATGGTGTTGTTCCTGGCCCACATGGACCTCCTGGGCCACCTGGTCCTGGTGCTCCCATGGGACCATATAACCCAGCTCCTTATAATCCAGGGCCTCCTGGCCCTGCACCTCAGTAAGTACTGCTTCAGCTAGCTTCCTTTTTTGTAGGGTGACCCTGGAACTGGCTTTCACTGTATATGTATGACTTGATCTCTTATAGTGGTCCTCCAGCTCCGTATGCTCCGCAAGGATGGGGAAATGCTTATCCGCACTGGCAGCCACCAAATCCACCAGATCCAGGTAAGAAATGTCACAGTTGTGCTGTAGTGTGGATACACTTTGAGTACATGCATTTTGTCCTTACAAGTATATGTTCACAGTTCATTTGTGTCACACTGGTAAATCTGAAAAAGCTCCTGTTCTTCAGGCTTTTCCTTACCGATTGTCGGTTTACCTATGTCTTAAACTTCCCACGTGTTGCTTGTGAGATGTTGAAATTCAGTTGTTACAGTTGGAATGTTCTTTACTAAATGTTATTGACATTGCATCCCAATTTACAATACTTTTTGCAAGACTCTTGATTAACTGACTTTGTGCAAATCAGTTCATTTTTCTTAGAATGGATGTTTTTACATAAAGTTCTTTAATGAGGATGTTTTCTTTTTAGTCAATGACTTTGTGTTTTATTTTAAACAGTGCCCCTTACAATCTCACTGATCCTGACTTTGCACAGTTTATGCTATATTATATATTTCTAGCTTTTGTTGACCTATATGAGGATTGCTTCTCAGAGTCTTACACAAATGTATTTTGTTCAGTCCTTTTTGAGGGATAAAACTTCTGTTGAACTGCTGTTAATACAGTAAAACTAGTTAGGATCATGTATTTTGAGCTTTTGCATATAATAGTTTTGTATTTTCTTCTGAAACCCATCTTTGTAGAATCTGTTTCTTCTATTTCTGTTTACCTTTGTGAAGACCGGGAGTTTTTACCTAATTACAGCTTCCCAAAGTTTTAGTATCCTGCTTTTCTTTAAGTTATATCCTTTGGTTGGACTAGAGCGTATGGGGAAACGGAACTCCAGTCACAGAAGGCATGGTAAGGCTAGATGCTTCAGTCACTCATACCTCATTTGTTTGAGGTAGAGCTTCTTCAGAACTTCAGCCAAAAGATCTCAATTTTATTTTTGTTATAAATGGAATAAATATTTTCTGATACTCACTGGTCCTGACACAAGTTCCTTTAGTGAAAAAGGGGAGGACTTTGGAGGATGTTACAATCTACGGAGAGTCCTATTCATGTTCAAGTCTTTCATATATCCTTTCTTGGCAAAGAACCACTTCTGGTTTCGTTTTCCTAACTCTTACAAAAGGTAGCTCTGCATGCATTCAGTTTAGTATTTAAAAATGCCTATTGTTGTTATCTAAAAGTAGAATGATTCACAGTGACTTGAAGTCTCAGCATACCAAAAGTATCATTTAATCCAAAACCACTGCCAACATGTTGCAGCCTTTTTCATGCCAACGTTTCATTTTTTATAGTCATTTATCTACTTAAAGATCTGTAAGAAAAATGGTAAATACTCACCTTGGTATCATCTTGATGATGATTTTATAACCATTGTTTGGATAAATACTCCTTAAAAATCTAATGAAGTTTTCCTGTGTGCAGTTGAAGTTGGTGTTTCTTTCAGCTAGCATTTATTTGGATGAGTTTTGTACCGTTGTCCACTTAGTTGCTCATTTCAGTGTAACAAATGGGTTATTTCAGTATTTTTTTTCAGAGGTGCTTTCTCCAGATCCATGCTTGCCTCTTGTCATGTGAAAGTGGAGCTAGTTACTACAGTCAGATTTCTTTGGAAATTTAATGAATCCTGCTCTGTTCTTCTATTCTAGAGAAGTAGCTACTAAGGGGAAGGAGGGGGGGAACCAAGCAATGGCTTATTTGATATTTGCAGGTAACCGTAGAATATAGTACATGTTAGTTTAAATCCACTATTGTTGATGGAAGCAGTGTAATTTAAAAAGGAAGCAGCATGTTAACATTGTTTTCTGTATGCTGATACTACTGTGTGCATTTTAAGTGGTTACATCTGGCTTTAATGCTAAATGAAATGCTGCAAGAAATTTGTTGTGTTGTGGATCTCTTCTCCCTGAATGCCTTTTTCAGGGGATCTCTTCTTTCTCTTCCATTAGCCGCTGCCTTACCTATTTTGTGTTTGGGGGGAAATATACTGCCATTTCCACGTGTAGTTATTCTAAAGTATCAGTTGTGTCAGTGTCTTTATTTGAAGTTCTTCCCTCAGCTGGCTGCATTTATTTGCAGATATTTTTATTCTTCAAGGATGCAAATAATGTTAAAGGATGCTGGTTGTGTTATAGAACATTACATTCTCTAACAGTAGATTTGCAGTTTTTGCGGCTTGCCAGTCTTGTAGTGTAATCAGTCTCTCTGATTCAGCAAGAATAAGCCATTCCTAAAGGCTATATGTGAAAAACAGAAATAAGGCTCTAGGAAGCAGCATCGTTGGCCTACCTACATATAGTTAAAAATAAGGGAAGCACAGAGAGAGCTGCGGAAGATGCAAGTGTTGCTATTATTTGTTATGCTAAAAAGCTGTAAGTAAACAGTGATGCTTTATAGCCATGTATGGGGACCCAGGTTCTTAAAATACTATGTGTTTCTGTATTTTACTGTTACCTTAAAGTTTAACTGACCAGCATTGCAAATGGATAGTAAAATTTGTATTCTTCTGTTTCAGAAATATGTGTTTGGCATGCCTCCTCTGCCAGTGTCATTAGTGTGAGGTTATAACAAAAGTAAAAACACTGAAATTTTTTGGTGCTAGAATGATTCATTGATGCTACCATTTAGTAACATGATTGTTTAAATAAACTTGAAAATCTGTTTCTATTTATCACATTTAAAAATTAGTAAGTGACATTGTAGTAGTAAGGGTTCTAGAATGATTTTATCTCATCAGTCCTATGAAAGTGTACTTTGTACAATACACTTGTCTGAAACCTGATCAAAAGTTTGTGCTAGAAAGAAAAGATACTTCCAGGATGTACATGGTTATTTGGTTTAGATGGATTTTCCCTTGGAGGAAAATATGACTGCTTAGGACAGGGTTAATTCTGTTCGTACTACTTTTTATAAATGCTTATGTTTTGTTTTCATAGGTAAGCCAGGAACAGATCCCAATTCAGCAGCGTGGGCAGCTTATTATGCTCACTACTATCAGCAGCAAGCACAGCCACCACCTGCAGCCCCTCCTGGTGGACCAGCTACAACCCAAACTAATGGACAAGGTAGCTGTTCAGTAAAATAGATAAATTTCTCATTGCTGGGGGTGTAGGTGCCCCATTATTTTTTATTGTTGTCCTCATATCTTGGGTAAATCGATTGTAAGGTAGCTGGTTTTCTTGGGAAACTCTTGCTTACAGCCTTCAACATTGCTTTTCTTAATTTCAGCAGTAATAAGGGTAATGTATTTATCTTGTAATGTACTCCAAAGAGAATTTTGCTGCTACTTGGGCTGACTTAATTGTGTATACATAGTGCAGTCAATTATAAAAATGGAACGAGGCAAACTGTCATTTGCTTAAACAGTTGCATCACTTCCCGTGGTTTAAGGACAATTACAATGGTAGTATTTAGTTGTATTAGTATAATTGTTGTGCCTGGATGAGGCTTACCACTTCAATTTTAAGTAGTATTTTGTACTGTGAGTGGTGTGCATTTCCCGAATCTTAAACTCGCCAAACACTTTAAACAATTTTTTGTTTCTTTGTGGTGTCTTTTACTAATTGTTTATATTTGTAGTAGCATGTACCACAGAGGTTTATAGTGTTAGATTTGAGTGATGTTATTTGGGATTGGTACTGAAAAATTCAGCTGATGATTTGTAAATTGTTCTATGTGTGAAACAAAACCCAGTACTTTTATATTGACTATACTTTTACATTGACTATTCTTAATGTAATTCAGGAGATCAGCCAAATCCAGCACCAGCAGGGCAGGTTGACTATACCAAGGCCTGGGAGGAATACTACAAAAAAATGGGTACGTGTGCTTGTTTTTTTCTGTTATTGCATAGTAGAATGTTTTAGGAGACTTGTGTATCTTTTTTGATGAGATGGGTTTTTTACTCCAAAAAAAAAAAAAATGCACAATCCGTATGTCTTCTGAACCATATACTGCTAGAGGGCCTGAACCCTGCAGAAAAACAGACTTAAAAATTTGTGTTGTGTTTAAGGCATTTATTTGTATTCATGCTAGTAATTAGCTTTGCAAAAGTACTTCATACCTAATGAGATGTCTATATTTGATCATTGGGAAACAACATATTTTAAATGCTTCAATCTGAGTATTTTTAAGTATATTTTTAAAGTATATTTCGTAAGTTTTGGAGTTCAACTTTGATCTATTTTATGAAGCTGTTGTTTGTCTTTTTTGGTAGCAGTTTCCTAATGCTCTTAAGATTACAGATTTTTTTTTTTTTTTTTTTTTTTTTAACTGGGTTTCTTTGGTGGCGTTTTCTTAATGTCTTTAAATTTAAAATTTTTTTTTTTTTTTTTTTTTCTTGTAACTGGCTTTCTGTGTTCCAGGTTATTAGAGCATCATAACTAGCTTTCATTTATATCATGCCTTTTTATAAATAGTACTTGCTTTGCAGCACTTAAGAGCTGTGTTTAAACTGCAGGTTATATGTTGTTGCTGGCTTTTTCAAAATATATTGCTTGAGCTGACTTATAAAACTGAAATGTATTTCCTTGTTAAGTTGATGGTCTCATCATTTACTGAATAAGGAAAGAATGCGTGGTCTTGATGCATTGGCAGAAGCTGCTGTTATCTTTTAAATCATGGGAATGTCTTGCAGGTCAGTGCTTTGTCCACAGTGTCCTCCTGTGGATATTGTAGTTGATATAGATCTGTACGCTGAGGACTAGTGGGCTTATGAATGCCAGTGCTTTCCCTGGTATCTCTGTTTGACCAGATGTATAGCAGCATCTAGTGTGGATTTTCTGTTTGTTTGGGTGTGAGGGTTTGGTGAGTTATTTTGCCCTCTTCCAACTGCACCCCGTTTTCTCATGAAATATTAAAAGGTATTTGGAGTTAAGATTAATAGCATGTTTAATTCCTCTTAGCAGCCTTCTGCCAGGTTGATCTCAAATTATTTGCCAAGACATAACTACCTTTATTCTTCTTTATTTTGGCACAGCATAAGTGATGAAATGAAACAGAAAATATGTAATGATGATTTACTTTAAGAACTGTGTATCAGACTAAGAAAATTGCAACACAACTCCCAAACGTGATTTTTAAGATATGATGGGCCTTTCCATTTTTCCTCTTCCTGTTTCACTGAACTACTTTTTTTCAATTTACTATCTCTGTTAGTTCAGCTCACATTCTGAAATGCCAAGTTATGGGTTTTTTTCATTGCCTTTTTAAGAGTAATGTAATTTGTTGGCAGGGGCTCTGCCATCTTTCTAATTTGCTATCTCTGGAAGGCGAAGTCTGGGTTGCACTAGGCTTGCATTTGCTCTAATTAAATAATAGCTAGTTATAAGGTGTTGGGATAGAGTCTCTGGGAGCAAGACCAAAGAGGAGTGTGAACCCAAAAAAGGTAGACATTGGGAGATTTAAAGAATTGCTCTTAAAATGCAAAATTAAAAAATCCCAAGGCAACAATCAAATAAGAGGAAAAACATGAGCAGTTCTGATCTTAATTTCTTTTTCTAGTTCAAATTGAGTTCTTTGCCTGAAGGAGAACTCTTGATGTCTGGATCTGTATAACTTGACTGTGTAAATTGTGAGAACTTTTTGCTTCTTCAGCGTGTTGAAAATTTTGATCTGGAAGATAACATTTGTCTTAAGATCCACTTAGAATAGAGGAAGAACTGACCAAGTGAGGTTGAAGGGCAGAGAATTCATGTAGAGTTGATTTAGTGCTAAATAGAGGTGTGTTTTCCCACCTCCTTAACAACAATGTTAAGAAGTAGTAGAAGATCTGATGAACAGGAAGCCTGTCCATCAGCAGGTTTGTGTGGTCTCTGGGCTCTCAAAATACAGCTGCTACTGTTTGTGCTTCCTACCGTACTGTAATGCTTCTGTCCCCATTAACTTGTGCAAAAGGGGGAAGGTAGGAATTAAAAGTCACTCACTCTTTGACTCCTTTTTCAGATTTTTCACAGCACAGATAATTACGCAAACAGCTGTTTTGGAGAACTGAACTGAAACTTGGGACTTGCTGAGCCCAAGCAGGTTTTTTTTTTTTGCTGCTGAAGAAAACTGCTTTGATAATTCATGTGGCAGGCTTAGGAGGGTGACAGTACTGAGCTGAACAAGTTGGATGTGATACTGCAGTTGGTGCTCTGGATTTTCTCATACTTTGTTAACTATGAGTGATCTGACAACTCTAAAAGCACCCCTGAATATTCCCATCAAAACCATTACACTTTTCCAAAGTGGCTTCCTACTGATGCAGTGTGACTCGACTAATCACAGAGAACACTTTCCAGTGTATAGAACAGTGACTTGAAAATAACCTTTTTTTCAACTTGCAAATATAGTGGCAAAGTCCATCTCCTTTTTCAGACTCTTGTCCTGGTCAGGGACTATTGCTTTGAGTAGCAAATACAATTAAAAATAAGACTGGAAAGCTAGTAAAATTACTCATGTGCACTGGTAAGTTACTGTACGTGGATCTTGTAGGTGACCCATACTATCTATTTGCTTGGTACCCTACTTCATAAATTCAGATAATTTGTTTCAAATTTCTGTTGAGTATTACGAGGTAATAAGACAGTAGTTTAGCTTTTGAAGGCACATAGATGCTGTTGTCTTGAATTGGGGACATAGGATTTTTATTTTGCCCTACAAGAGCTAAAATGAAGATTTGCATAGCTTGGCCCTAAAAATCTCCCATGGATAACAGTTCCCTCTAAACATGAAGTCATATTTTAGTAAGTGATCTATATGTCACTGTAGGAGTTTGTAAATTTATCATCTGAAGTCATTCTGCCGTACTGTGGGCTTGATTTATAGTTGAGGGATTCCATAATAAAATAGTGGAACTATTTCCTCAGCATTTTAGCAGGAAAGAGAACAAAGAACAGTTTTCTCCTATTAGAATCACCCTTGATTTGAGTAGTGGAAAAACTGTAGAATCATCTGGCATTTTCTTTCTTAGCCTTCCTTAGTGGGGAGGTGTTCTGTGTTTCTTGTATTTCCTTTGTATGTAGTTGATCTTGTTTGTTAGTGTTCTAAGTTGAATCTGGATATTAATGAGCATGTACTGTTTCAGTGCAGTTCCGTACACTGAAAGGAAATTTTGACTAAACTGCTGAATTCCATGTGTAGGTTCAGAATTATTTACAGTACTTGGTAGGAGAATGATGCAGCTAAAATACTTTGAACTTTTACTAACCCATTTCAGGACAGAAGTCCAGTCTTGACATCTTTGAGTAGATGTTAAGCTTCCTCTATTTGATTTATTATTTGAATTTCAACAGTGCCTTGGGATAGCTGGCTGAATGTCAGAAGATTCTTGGGTCATAATGCACAAAAAATGCCTTAGCTTTGACATTCAGCTGCACTGACAGCTATGACATAGCTAAATAATCTTTAAGTAGAATTATTATCTCATAAATTAATAGTGAACTTACAAAAAGCGTATCCTGGCATAATTTTTAACCATATTAAAAATCATTTTAATCAAAATAATTGATCAGAAGAATAACTTTCTAAGTTGTGGTAAATTGTAAGTTTAAATTGTAAAATGTGATTTCAGCTCTTGAGATTTGAAGAAATTTAAGTAAATTCTTCTAGGAAAACAATTGCTTTACTGTATAACCCAAAAAGTGATGGTGAGGTTTTTTTAATATATCTACAGTGTAAATGGAAAAACTGTGTAAGTTGTATGGAGGGTTGGAAAATGGAAGATTGTATTTTGAAGACGTTCAGTGTAGTGCTTTGCCAAATGTTCAGATTGCCTGCTCACACTTAATGTTCTTGAGAGGATTGGGAGAATACACTTACATGTAAGAGCAGTGTGGATAGCTAGTATTCTTCATGTGAATTTTCTGTGTAAAAGTATTTTAAAAAGAAACAAACAAAACCAACCTTCTGTCTGATACCCTAGAAAACTGTTCATTAGAATCTTTGATATTCGTGTTCCCCAGAAGGTTGCTCAGTGGTCTTGTATCCAAATAAAAGGTAAGGTGGTTTCAGGTAGGACTGAAAACTTTCACCCCTCTTTGTGTGGAAGCTGCCCCTTTTTCTTGATAGCAGAACAGAAGATTAGGTGCACCTGTAGGTGTACAGGGTGCAGGTTTGCATTTTCCTTGGATTTATTTGATGTAGTGTGATTGGATGTTGTGTTTTGGGTTGGGTTTTTTTTTTTCCTTCTAGTATCCTAGAAAAAACTTGGGGAGGTGGTGGTTTTTCAGTAGTATCCTAATTCTGACTGTAAAACTTTGATTTTTTAAAGAAATAACTTTTTAAGAATGTAATCACAAAAATGTCATATCACAGTAGTAATAGTTCTGTTTTGGAAGTTCAAGAAACTTAAAATGAAGCATTCCATATGAAACCCTTTTGTCTGGGTGCATGTAAGTGTGAGGAGAGATGATTGGATAGAGAGTGGTGTTCTACTTAGATACATTCTGTAGTGGTAACTGCAAAAACACCTTTCAGACAAAAAGTGAAGATGATAGTGGTAGTAAGTGGAGTGTGTTTGATGTTTCTGAAATAAGAGAAGGGAAAAAGGAAGTAAAGATGTCTGCGACAAACCTTCCTTGGAAGAATGGCATGACTGAGGGGAAAAAGGAAGTAAAGATGTCTGCGACAAACCTTCCTTGGAAGAATGGCATGACTGAGGGGAAAAAGGAAGTAAAGATGTCTGCGACAAACCTTCCTTGGAAGAATGGCATGACTGAGGTCCTAAAAAGTTGGCTGTAATTTTTTTTTTTATACACTAAAGAGTCCTTGTGTATTAATCTATTGCCTTTATAGAGTGTTTAAACTGCAAGTTGATTTTGTTGGAAGGACTGGTAGTTCTCAGCTGTATGTCTAGGAGAGTGTGTGTGTGTGCACAGACATGTGTGTGCACACTGTTATTTATAGAGGATTGGAACTTAAGCGAAAGTTGGAAGGAGAAGTTTCAGGACCATATTCTGTAGTGGAGTAAATGTTTACAAAAATTAATGCTCTTTTTGAAAAATGTCATCTGCAATAACCTAGCAGTTGCATTAAGGAGGCCAGAATTGGGGGAGTGAACAAATTGGCATTTGGTGAATTAATCAGTGCAGTCTGTACCGTAAGATATCAGTCTAGGTGGATTATAAAACATAATCTCGCCTGTTGACCTGTATTTTAATTTAAATGCTACCGGGTGTTCAGGTCAGTTTGCATCAACTGTCTTTAAAGACTTTTTCTCTGGAACATGATTCAAGAGGCAGACAAAACTGTCCTTACAGTTCTTCAGTTTCGTTTTATATGGGAATCATTACATTAAAAGAACAGGATGAGTGGTTAGGTAAAAAAAAAAGGCAGCCACAAGATTACTCAAAAGCCTTGGAGGAATATTGCAAGAAGCTAGGTGACGTTTGTTAGGCAGAGAGATTTGGAAATGTTCTCATTTCTGTTGCAGCAACAAAGCTATATAATTTTAATTACTTGTAGGTCAAGCAGTTCCTGCCCCCGCTGGGGCTCCGCCAGGTGGTCAGCCAGATTACAGCGCAGCATGGGCTGAGTACTACAGGCAACAGGCAGCATATTACGCCCAGACAAGTCCACAGGGAATGCCACAACATCCTCCAGCACCACAGGTATAAAGTTTAAGTGTTTTTTGGCTGGCTTCCATTTCAGTGGTTATAGATATTTTTTTGCATGTCTCCTGCTTTGTTACCTTTGGAGTATGCATCTTTTTTTCTAGCGAAATAACTCACAATAATTAATAGATGACTTTGTTTACCTGATAACTTGAGTTCTCTATCTATCCATATGTTTGGTGATGATGTTTTTTTTTTAAAAAAAGAAGAAAAACTTTCTCCTCCCAGGGTTTTGAAAACCATGCAAGAAGCCACCACCATTTACATTAACCAATTTTTCTTTCTTAAAGGCTTCACTCCTGAGTTAGCTCGATTTAAAGGATTTTCTTTAACTTTTTGTGTATCTCTTATGTATCTCTTCTGCACAGGGCCAATAATAAGAAGTGGACAATACAGTATTTGCTTCATTGTGTGGGGGAAAAAACCTTTGTTAAATGTATGGATGCAGACGCCTTGATGAAGATCTTAATTTTGTTTGGTTAAAAAAATAGTGTTTTTGAAAATGTACAAAATATCTATCACTACTGATAGGAGGTAATATTTCTGTGTAGAAATGAAAAATGGTTTGTTTTTAGTATTAGTGTAGATGTACACATTCCAGCAAATGTATTTGCAATTATGTGGTCAATGCTTTGTGATATAAATGTACTTTTTCAATGTATACTTTATCACTTTTAAAATGCCTGTTTTGTGCTTTACAATAAATAATATGAAACCTCCTGTGTCGGTAAGTTGGATATGTGGGTATATAAAGAATTATAGGATTGATTTGCAACGCTGAATCAAGGTACCTGTACACAAATGAGTTTTTTGGTTTTTTTTTCTTTTCCCTCTCCCCCCATGAAACCTTGTTGAGTTTAAAAACTTGTTGTTAGCCTGTTTTTCCCCTCTTGCAGAATAGTTGTAGATGGAGGATCTTCCATTCATTGTATTTTGCTGCCTAGCACCAGTAATCTTGATTACCTTAATTTTCTTTCTATTTGATTAAAACTGCATGTGTTTAAGAAGGTGATCTTTTGGCATACTTCCATTGCATTAACAGTGAAATTTCCTTTTATACATGACCACTGTTTCAGACCTGTGCAGCTGCTATAACAGATAACTTTTGTTCTTAATTGAATACTTCAAAACTGTTCCTGCATAACTATTTTATGGATTTTTTCAGACTAGTTATAAAATTTATTTTAAGTGTAATGTGCTTAAGCCTTCAGTTTAAAGTAGTCCACTTCAAAATTCAGTGTAGAAAAGTCAATGTGGTATGCATAGTAGTTACAAAAATTGCATCTGTCCTTAAAACGCTGTTTTGTTTGAGTGGTGGGGAGTGGCTGAGAACTTCCTGCAGAGCAGAAAACTTCTGGTTTTGTAAATACTGAAGTATTTGAATCAATTGATTATTTTTTTTTATATTGCTCTAATGCTCATACTAAAAAGCTGATTCTCTTGAAATCCTATGTTTGCTCTTTGCATATTTATTGGCTCTTTGCATATATTAGACTACATGCAATACAGTCTGTCTTGCCATTGTCTTGTTGAAGTGCAGGTTTGATCCAGCCAGTATAGAACTAGCTCTATAGGGGTGAGGAGGACTGTGCTGTGTATCATCCTTGATTGTTCCTTCAAGGAGCATTGCACTGTAAGTACATCAGAATGACAAATTGATGAACTGCAACAGTATCTTTTTGTCAATGTTCCACATAATGAAAATGCCATACTTGTGTGACTATTATGTTGGAATACAGTGCTGATATCTTAGGAAATCATAATTGCTTCTTAATTGATAAACATAGGTTTGCGTATATATATATACATATACATAATATGAGCTTTGTGGGTAAGTATTCCTGAAACGTTTAGCAATAGCTAAAGAAAATCATGTTTCTGTTTATCTGAGTAATAGTGTTTTTCATTAGTACTCCTGAGACAGCTGTATCATTCAGTGTTTTAAAGTATGCATATCGTAACATTGAAGTCTTTGGAACCACTTGTTAGACAGAAGTTGTCTTTGTCTTCAGATAGTTTGCAGATATGTAGTGATGTAGGTATGTTTTAAATAATTCTATAACTGTTACTTGCTTTATCTTTTGGAACACCATACTGTTGCTTTGAGAATAAATTTTTTTAGGGTGGCTGCACAGAGAAGTAAAAGTTAAGGCTTGAAAATTGAAGTAGTTTATTCAGGTAATTAGCAATGTATGTATTGTGCTGTAGAAACAGAAGGAATTATTTTTATCCCTTTTAAAATTAGGATTTATTCTGATAGCTTAAAAAAGGCTAGGACAGTATTTGCTATCTTTTAGTGTAGGGTATGACGTTTAATAGTTCAGATATTTTGCATGGTATTTTGTAGATAACCTTATAGAATGGTGCATTTATTATGTAGTAAACTGAGCAAAATTAAATTCACTGGATTCTTTATCATTCACAAAATGGAGGCTGTTGATTTTGATTCATTTAAGGTATAAAATCTTTATTAATTGCAAACAGTGCAATTATTTATACTTCACAGTGCCTTCCCAGACCTTCCACCTTAGGTTCTGCTGCAAAAAAGCAACAGGTAAGCACAACCTAAGGAAGTATATAAATTAATATATTTCAGTACATTAATGTTGTCCCTGTGAGATCTTTGTGGTTGTGTATTGAAAAGCAATCTGCTGCTTCCCCAAATGCATTGTTACTCATGGTTCCATTTCAGTGGAAAGTCTTTTAAGTTTTTAAACAACTGTTTATATTTCTAGGTAAATATGTATCTTTTTTTTTAGAAAAGATGAGTAGATTGCGGTAATTAAACTTGATCAGAATAAGTAATTTTTGTTATTTTTCCTCAAATAGCTAATTGTTGCAATTAAAGAATCAAAACCTTTAAAAATATGCAGTAATTACTTTGGTTAGAAACTTCAACAGCCTTCACAAATGTTTTTTATAGTAGGGCACTATTCCCACTCAAACCAGTAAGACCTAAATATAAAGAATATGACTTCTTGTTGTTATCACTGAACTTGATAACTTGTCTTACAGTTATAGTGTGTTAGTGGAATTTTTAGATAACTTAGTTTGCTTATTCATACTTGACGTGATAGGAAAACAGATTCTGGAGTTTCAGCGATTAGTATGTTTTAACTGAAAAAGCATGTGCACCAATTAAATGTTGACAGTACAGCAAATAATATTTTATCTATATAGCAGTCAGTGTATCCTGTTTCTTGATACTTTAACTGAATTGCTGTATATTTTGATAGTTTAAAATGTTTGTATGTCTTATAGATGGTCTGGTACAGGTTTTTGTTTTCTGGTTTTTGTTGTTGGTTTTCTTTTTTTAGCTTAAAGTAAAGCAGCATCTATTTGGTTTTTTGTTGATTATTCTGTTTCTAAAATGTGCTGCTCCTCTTTCAAAGTCCTGCTTATCTGTACATCAAAGAAAAATATTCAAAAATACTGCCTTCATTTTCACACACAGTGCTGAAGATGCTGCAAGCACCAAATCATAGCTCATAGAATCAGGTCCTGAGATAGTTACTACCAGTAAAGAGGAATCCTTTGAGTGTATGCCATTGGTGAGCCGATGAGCATGGACCATAGAAGGGCTCCATGTAGAAGGTAAAATTGGCAAAAACATAACAGATTTGAAATGTATCCCATACATAATGGTGTAGGGTATAATTTTTGTTTTGATCACTTTTCATTCTTTAAAGTATTATTTGTTTGACCATAATGTTCCATAATCTGTTAAGTTTTTTAAACTGTGATTTAATAATATGAACCATCTATTTTAATTTATATTCTTCTAAACAGCCAAGCTTAGATATATTGAATTTTTGAACTAAATTAATAGTTGTGCTTTAGTTTTTCTCAAGCCACTTAATATTTCATCTGTAGTTTAATATGTAACTTCATTTTTGACGTCAGAAAAGGTTAGGCGTGTACCATTTGGATTTTGATACTGTGAATTTAGTGTTGGGGTGAGTCATTTGTTCACTTCCTTTTACATGATACTTTTGTCTTCAACTGTTGTTGCTAAAATATCTTAACAGTCTTTACAATTGTAAACTTAGCCAGGGGGAGGAGATAGAGAAGAAAAAGCCAGTTTATTGGAATGTTGCTAGTGTGTGGAAGACGAGATGTTCCTGTGTGTAGCATTTGAGGTGTATTGACTTCCAGCTTTCTCACTGCTGGGCTTACAGGCATGCTATTTTGTGCTAAGCATAGTGTTGATTTTTCAACTCTGTCTCCAAACTCATAGTTCTTAGGAGAACAGAAAATAGATTATTGGAGTTATCCTGATCCAAAAAGATAACTGGACTTGTTTAGAAATGTAATGAACTTGTCCAAAAGGTGTCTTTAAATGTTTCCTGCCCCCCCCTCCCCGACCCCCCTTAGAGTTCCACAAATTAAGTAGAATGTGAAGACTACAAAAAGTTTAAGAAGGAAGCATGATGTTCAAAGTAGGAAAAGCATTTTCATATCACTTTCTGCAGCCTATACTTTATAGGACATGAAATTAAATGTCAGGTGGATGATCTTCAGTCTAGCATGATCATAAGACCTCTATTTTAAGCTGTCCAGGCGGACAGGATCATTATTCACTTGCACAGCCTATCTTGAAATATTTCATCTTTTTACTAGTGGTGTTTTATTGGATGATAGAAACTGTTTCTCCCTTGTTCTCTTCCAAAGTAATTTTTAAGTTTTCCATTGCATGCTGAAAGCTTTTTGTTTTGCTTTTTTCTGGAAGTGGGGGGAGGAAGGGAGGACTGGGCTTTTCAGAAAGCATACAGTTGACAGGATTCCCTCTTCCCTAGTACTAGCTTATAAAACTCTTATGTATGCACAAATATTTCTCTTGCGTGCATGTGAAATGCCTTTTCGTCCTGAGAAAAGTGTTCTCTGCAGAAACTACCCGTGTGTAAAAAGAAGATTGGCTTTAAAAGGCAACTGTGATGGGAACAGTGTCTTAGGGAGATGCAGCTTGGACTTGAGGTAAATTGAATGCTTTACAAAAATGTGGTTTTGAGCTTGAGTTGACATTGTATGTAATATGGGTACACGTTAACTGTATAATGTTTTTTGTATGGTTTTTCTCAATAAATGTAAACTGATGGATAATAATAGCAATGTTTTTTGTCTTTTTTATGCTTGTATCCCTGCCTTCGTTAGTTTGAAATAACAGGTTCAGAGGAAAGATATTGCAGCAACTAGTACCTCTGTGAATGAACATCACCCACATGAAATGAAGTAAAATATATTTATATGGCTATTAGGATAAATACTCATTCAAAACATCATGCAGCTTATTGCTGTTTTTTTTTTTTCAAACTGTTTCTGAATTTGTAACTATTTTATTGAGGCAAAAGAGTGACTTCCAATGGGTAACTATACAAAGAGCAGTCCGCAGATTCAGCCGCAGGAAAACTTCACTTTGAAATGACTGCATAAATGTCGTTTGCTGCAGCTTACCTTGTCTTTATGTTAAGGCTTATAGACATGTTCTTTAATTTAAAATGTGACTGTTTGTAAAATTGTTCCTACAGAAGCGTAAGCTAAGCTGAACAATTCAGATGGTGTTAGCACAATGATATTAGTGTTGATATCAAGAGGTCTTAGAGAAGAATAGTACAGTAGCCTTAAGAAGTCAATGTTTAGTGATGCAGCAATAAATTTATTGCATTAAGAGAGAACAAAGATTGAGAAGTTAGGCACTTTCTGAAAATATTTTTCTTAAAGCT